AGTTATAAGTAATATAATTTGATAATCAAATAACACCAAATTTACAATAAATTTAAGGAAAATTCTTACATAAGTATTAGCAAATTAGTGACAATCATTATCATTAATTTTACAGATATATACAATCGAATCACTATCTAACAACGCAATTTTAATTGTTTAAATAAATTATAAATTTTTTATTTATTGATAACTCATTCACGCTCCTTATATGGTCTTGTTTTCGCTGAATTGCTCTAACACATTTACATATATGTGAGAAGAGCGCCTTCGCTTAATTACCGCTTTTCTTTGATTTTGTAGTGCAAGACGGGTTGCTATTTTGCAGTAGGCAAAGGGACAAATCGGACGAGACCATTACACATGTTTGGGGTTGGTGGGTTTGTTTGTTTATGGATATAGGGTTTGTTAACTTATTGTTTAGCAAATGATTAAAGGTCAACTTTTGTGGTTTGAATTTTGTACGTAGAATCTCGCAGGAAATAAGTTATTTTAGGTTCTGGTTGCAGGCTTACTGTTAGAGTAGGTTACCCTGAACAATTTAAAAAAGAACTGGTAGAAATTTATCGCAGTATATGGCTGATGGAGATTTTTATCCACTTTGGCCCCACTGTGCGACAGCTCACGTGGGTGTATCACAAAACCCTTTCTCTATACTCGGGCAGAACAACCAACCGTCAGAACTCTTTGCGGTTTGTGACTGGATTGAGCAGATGATCTGTCATATATCGATATAATATATTGTCCTCAACTTTCCAGTTGACGTATTTCTTCGGCTGGTCGCGGACTTCTTGAAGCCTTTACAGGCACCAAGAGTCTATATCCGTCTCAAACTCGCGCAAGAGTATATCCAGAGCACGTTTCCTATGCACGATTTCGCAGTCGAGTTGTTGGAAATCCAGCACTCATCGCTCAAGTTGACCTGTTAGATCTTGTTTACTTAGTAGTCTAGTTAACGCGCTATGATCTGTCATCACTACGAAGTGAACTCGAAGGTATCGATGAAGTTGATAGGAATACACATAAAAATTCATTTAAATATTTCGAAATAGCGACATCGACTACTGAAAATAAAAGTTATAGACAGACTGTTCAATGTATAACTGAACAATAAATTAATAATTAAATAAAAATGCTATGAGTTCTACTAATTAATATTCGAATAAAATTAATTACGAGGTTGAAAGGTTCCCGAAATCGAATGAGACTACTATAGCGCTTGCTTAGATAGATAGATAGAGAGAGAGAGAAAGAGAGAGAGAAAGAGAGAGAGAATAACATCCACGCTATACGGTGTACGCAAATTCCCTCTACTATACTACTATAGCCTGTTGAAGGAGAGAGAGAGAGAGAGAGAGAAACATCTACACTGTTGGAAACGTATCTAGCCAAAATATAGCTTAGCAAGCTAGAGACGCTTCCCCCTCTCTAAGGGCCCACCACACCAAGATCAAGCCAACATATAGCTTAGCCAGCGCACCGCAAGCTAGAAACGATACTCCCTCTCCGAAGGCCTGTACCTAGCTAGCATATGCTTACTGAGCGCCCTACTATCAAAGGAGATCGGGAGAGATAGAGAATGAGAGAGAAAGTAGCATCCACGTTATTCAGTGTACGCGCCTAGCCACCATATAGCTTACCAAGTGCCCTACCAACTTCTACAGCGTGCTGCTTTTACAACCTTTATAGGAGGAATCTACCTTGACAGTCTATATAATAAAATTTATTATTTTATTATTTACTAATAGGAGGGATGAGCTTTGGGAGTCGCGACTACGTTAAGGAACCACTCCGCGGGGTTAGTGGGAGGCACCACCCACTCTCTGACCATCCCGATGCATGCGCAGTGCGTGCGCGCGCATGAACAATTCCCTATGTATGTTTTAAGCCACCTAGACGCCCCCCACGATGTGGCTTGAAACATACATTGCTTACCGTGCCGTCTCTCATGCGCGTTTAATATTCGGCTCGCATCGTAAATCGGATGTTCTCCGTCCTCGAATATCTGCACTAGAAATGCTCCCACCGCGTACGATGATCCGTCAGAATGCAAGTAGAACGATCGTTCGAAGTCCGGTTTCACCAACACGGGGGCTTCAGTGAATACTTTTTTTAATCGTTCAAAGGCCTCCTGCTGTTCTTCGCACTAAATACGTGGTTGGTCCTTCCTTGTCAGTTTTTGAGAGCGGTACCTTAATAGCGCTCTCACTTTCAATAAATCAAGCGTACCATCCTACGATGCCTGAAAATCTTCGAAGCTGCTCTATAATTCGGGGCGCCATGTAGTCCATGATTTTCTGATTTTTCAAGGTTGCTTTCTCGTAGGTTTATCTCCACTAACTGCCGCAATATTTTCTCTAACCACAGCATGAGGTTCTCGGAAATTCTCGCTCACTACCAATAAATCATTCATATATCAAAATACATTCTGCGGGAACTCCGATCCAAACAGCGTATCCATGAAATGCATGAATGTTGCGGGCGCATTTACTAGTCTCAATAGTATTCTCCATATTATATTCTCGAAATCCCACAGACTTAACCCGGGAATCGCAAACGCAGTGTACTGCTTGCTTCTTTTGTCCAAGGGAATTTACCAAAACGCCGACCTGAGAACAATCTTTGACAAAAATATATCGCAGTGCAGTCGATCCAAAATTAAATCACGACTGGGCATCGGGAATGCATCGATCTTTGTTACTTTGTTTACTGGGTGGAAGTCTGAACAAAATCGATACATCGCGTTTGCCTTTTTCACGATCACTGATGCGTTAATTCACTGACTATCCGACGGCCTAATTATACCCGTGCGCCACATTATCATTATACTTACACATTATTATTACACATTATATTATCTTCTCCTGCGTAAACTTAAGGATCGGTGGTGACATCCGCCGCAAAGGCGTTTCAATCGATCTCATATCACCGACACTTATTATGTACTTGATTTCTCGTCACGGCTGGGGCGCCTCCGGACTCGGACATTACTCTTCCAACGCCAACAACTGCTCATGCTGAGTGTCCCTTAGCTCGCAAGCCCTGCGTACTCGGCGAACACATGGTTCGGCCTATCTGCATTACTCGCAAAAGGGATCCACTTTCTCAAGCCCTTGGGCCGCCAATCTCGCCACTCGATGTTTGGCTTGGCATCAGCGCACTATGCCACCGCGCATCATCATAATCTGCACACCCAAATCCAACATCACCAGGTAGTTCTTCTCATTTATATTAACTATCAGAAGAAATATATTCTCTATTACCACTACCTGAGCCGAGTTATCGTCTTCGTCTTGGCTCGCAGACTGATTACCCGAGCTTGCCTCGGTTCTCTCCACCACTAAAACGGAAGATATTTCTGCCACCTTCGCATGGCTCACCGGATCGTTCACCACCATTCCTTCTCGCGCATCTATATTTTTTCGTTCTTGGCTGTCCGAGAGTTGCAGGGACCATTGTGGCGATGTAGTAGCCATGCGCTCCACCTGCGCTCGATCGGACATCTCCCTCTCTAATCGTTTCTCCAAGAGCAGCTGGAAGCCTCGACTACGCGCCACCTGTCCTTGATCGAACAACTCGCTTCCCAATCATTTGTCCGAGATCATCGCAGTGATACCTTAGTCACGCGCTTATCCTGCGCTCTATCAGATCTATTATCTACTACATCGGATTTTATGATCAAAACCGTGTGATTTTTCTCTTTCCTGACGGGCTCCAGCAATTTACCCTTTTGCTTCTTTCTACCATCTTACTGTCTTTAAAAATTGATTATTATTGTTATCGGCCGTTCCTAGTTGTTGATAGCGACGCAACAAACTATTCGAAAACTCCTTCACTTTAGCACCAGCTACACCTGACTGGGCGCCTCCCATTACGCGCACCTGTTATCTTACGACGCTGTGCCGACTCGAGCCGCGTGAGTATTAACGCAGCCTCGCCGGGTTCAATATCCTTTTAACCGTTCCTTTCTTCAATTCAGCCATCACCGCGCGAACAACCTTGTTTCGATGTATTTCACACACAAGCAATGCTTGCCCGAGCAAACTCAAGCAGGGGTCGATTAGCGAGTTCCGACCCTCGCCTGCAAATTTCCTTGCTGCACGATGTAGTATATTCACGTGGGACAGTTCTGAATCACAAACCACCTCATCGACCACCTTAAATCCGCATTGCAGTACGGCAAGCAGTGGTAAGTCTCTCCGACAAATTTAGACAATCAAAGGTTACTGAACAGTTGTAATCTTGCTAACCGCGAGGCACCAGGACGTCCCGAGTCCGCGATACCACGGTTGTTATGCGCACACCGGTGACGAACGGAAAGCGAGAAATGAGAGAAAAACGAGAGAGAGAGCTGACACTGAGGTGGTGGACTTGAACTGTCGCATCTTGTCTTCTGGTGGATTCGGACGTCGATGGTGATGAAGCAAACGCCGACGAAACTGCTGCAGTAGCCGTCGACCACCTGGCTTTCCAGACCAAACCAAAACCCAGAGTCCTGCATCAGCGCGCGGCGCTGAGAAATCGTTGTTCTAGTTCTACCACCGACGTTTTTCCGAATAGAATCAAGCGATATCACTCCTGCTGCTACCACTGATGCTCCATCAAGCCGAAAACTGTCCTCTTCCTCTTTCTTTCCACTCCTTGCCCTCAGTTACGGAGCTCATCCATCCTTAGCTCTTGAAGCTCTAATTCGGAAAAATCATATAAACTAGGATTAACAATGCGCTAACGCAATTACATAGATACCAGACTTAAAGATATCGCGCGCAGATAGTGAGATGTTAGGAACTTAGGGACGCCAGGGACAAGCTTACAAATCCTTGTTCAACATTAAGTATTTACGATTACTAATTGAGGGTTTAAACAATCTTTATAATTACATGAAAGGAGGTTTTTATTTACATTTTCTACAATTATTTTCTACTTTTCAATATTTCAATAATGGAAGCGACATTTGTAGTATGAATTGTTGGAAATAGTTTATGTGATATTATACTTACAATTCATTCTGTAGTAAATATATGGCCAGCATTTGAGAATACATCTGGGTTGTTATAATGCCTTCTGTGCTCTGTAAGAAATTATTTAAAGAAAATTTAATTTTAGTAGATTAACATTAAATAATAATTGTTAGCGGATGATTAATTAATAAAATATAGGGCTGTACTATTCGTTATTTTCAAATAGTGAATGGTACTTGATGACTTGTAAGCCATTTAATGAATTAAATAAATACTAATATAATTAACCTTACCAAGTAGTATATCTACTGTTTATAGAACTTTCTTTTACCGGTAGAAAATTCTATCAGACGTAAGACTGCCACGTTTGTTGTCGCTGTGGTAAATGTATTATTTTGAATAGTATTTTATTTGAATACGACTTTTTTAACCTTTTCGAAACGTAAAGGTTAAACAAAAATTAAAAAAAAGCAAATTAAAGCGTGAAGTTTCTAGTTTCGGGATCTTTATTTGCATAATCCTAATGAATATCGAGAGAAAAAAATTTTTGGTTTTCGTTTGGTTCACGGAAATGGAAAAAAATTTTTTGATCTAAGTAATTATATGGACTGAATAATTTATTCATTCAGCTTTAATTTGGAAAGTTATTGAGCTCAATACAAAAACTTGTTTCAGAGACATCGGAGTTTAAATGAAAAGGGATCGTTTTGTCTTTGGTCATCGATATCGCAAAATCAATTATCGCACAGAAAATTAAAGCTCAGTTTAACAAACTTCAATAAATGCTCTTCAAAGATTGGCCATTCGTTTTTGAACAAAAAAAAACTTTTCCATGCTTTACATGAATTTGAAAAAATAAAAAGAAAAGGGCTTTAGGTGGATTTTTGGAAAACCATTTGTTAAATTGGCAATACCGTAAAGACCAAGAATGTTAAGTGTGCTTTTACAGTTCAATATACCCACAACAGCCTTCCACAGTGTAAATTGATTCCATTAATACATTTCTTTGATTTATTCTATTAAATTTTTGAAAAGATTGAAGGATCACTTTTTTTTTGCTCTCAAATGCCCTGTAATCTCGGGAAAGACGTTGCTCGAATTATTCTTCGTTTTTTTTATTTTGGTTTGGCGCTCGCGCACCGTAAACCGGAGACGATAAAAGTGTCGATTTAAATAGCTAGGAGTTATTAAGTCAAAGTTACGAAGGAGTTGACAGAGCTTGCAATAAATTGGGAGATCCTAACAAGGAAAGGGTGATGAGTCGGCAGAGCTTGTAAATAAATTACAAAATACCAACTATTAGGTTTCCTAACGGGCCTTAGTTACCATAACGGTAGACAGAAGAGCTCCTATCACACGAAAATAAAAAGAGTAAGTATATTGAGACAGGAAAATTTTTCTTTAAGAATGAATTTACTTGTTTTATTTTCTTAATACACAAACACGGGTGCGAAGACTTGGTTTGCTTCTCTTGTAGTGTTTCTCTGGTAGGAAACGTGATATGGATATACCCTTCGGCCGCGCCACTCTTACACCTTGCTTGCTTACCAGGAACTTCTGGCTGTACTCCCACATTTGAGGCTGATACGTTTGTGATGTTCGTATCACTTATAAATAAATTTAATTCGAACTCTCGTAATTTAGCTAATGAGTAAGAATTTGTTTCCGATGATTTTACTCTAATTTCAAGAAAATAGCTAAGTGAAACCAATACAATAATTAAGTAAATCAAATATATATAAGTAATTATAAAATATCGAGGAAAGTCAGACAATGCCCTAGTTTCTTATGGTGCGAGTTGTCCCATAAGCAGAGCTAAAGTCTTTCTTGGATAGGATATAATTCGGCCCAAGTTTCTTATAGCGCGAGATGTTCTATAAGTTGAGCTCAAATTATAAGGAAAGGTTAGTCTTGCTTAGTAAATCACAATGAGAGAAAGAACTTAGGTGTTGATCCAAGTTTATTCAAACTCATGCGCTCACTTTGCAAGGCTAGAAGTGAATGAATCTAGCCTGTGCAAAGGTGGGCCTATTTATACACAGATTTTCCCGCTTATTATTGTAGGAGAGATTTCATCGAAAATTCGAGAGACATTCGCGAATTTTGAGAAATGATTTTTCTTCATTTATAAGTAAATAACCATTAATATTAAGTTTTTAACACATGTAAATTTTACAGAACTAGTTATTTGTTGATTTTATACAATATATAATTATCGCCAATAGTGTCGTCAAAAGTTATTAACTAATAAAGTTAATTAACGTGATATTACATTATTTACAATAGAAAATTATTAAAATTTCATATAACTTTATAGTTAATTAATTTTGGAAGTATTTTCCAAAATTAATTATTTAAATTAATTAATAACATTTGAATTATGACTAATTTTTCATATTTGTAACGGTTTTCTTTTAATCTTAATATGCGATTATTAGGTTAATTATCTAAGATTTCTAAATCATAAAATTGTCATTATCAAGTATTAACTTAATATTTTCGTTCTATATATCGCTTATTGTTTAAATAAATTATTAGTTGTTTATTTATTAATAACAGTTGTTATTTAGCTGTTATTAATGAAACCAATTCTTACTCATGTTCTATGCTTGTTCATTTTACATATAAATTATTTATATTTTTCTAATATTTCATATGTTAATAAATAAATTAACTTTACATATCGATATTCGTTATAAATTTATGATTGAATAAGATATTGTGAATCTGTATGTTAAAATCTATATAATTGATACTTTGTTATATTCAAATTATCTATAATTAACATATTTTTCTCAATATTATGATTCATTATATCTATGTCTATTATTTGTGACGTCACGCTATTTGTTTTGACTCGACTCTTATTTGTATACAGTCACGTAAACAGTGAGGTAGCGCCGCTTAATGTATTGTTTTGACTAACAGATAAATACGTTAGACTAGTTGCAGTCATTTAATAAACAGCTCATAGATAGGACCGTTACACGTTTTTCTCATAGGGAGGGAATAGACCTCCGTTATTATAGGCAAGTTCCGACCCTCGCCTGCGAGTTTCCCATCGCCGCGTTTTCTAATTGGTCTAGAATGGTCGCTTTCCTTTTCGGTCCTCCGCAAATCATGTTTCCACATGAGAGTCTCCTCAAGAGATGGCGACTCAGGCATGAATTTTCTTAATTCCTATTACAGTATTGCTATTTTTTTTATTTTTTTATTATTTATAAAATTTCGTGGACCGTATTTAATAGATTAACAAACGACAAACAATCTTTCCAAACACTTGCAACTCGTATAATATTGCGCTTCCATTGAATAATCACTTATTACTAAATAACTTTCAGTATTATTTGTGTTAATTATTAATCTGTTTTTTTTAAGTTATGAATTGGTACACAATAATTATTTTAAGCCGTAATTGCTTAAAAATTACATTTGATTGTTTAAACTTAATTAATTATATTTTCAGACTTATTATAATAACAAGATCTATTAAAACTACTTACAATCTAATTAGCGCTACTATGTGTATGTATTTTCGTAATCTAGTTAAATATTCTTGGTTGATATTTAAAAATATTTCATCTATTACTAATTTTACTCTTAAACTATTGATTCCATAATGTTTTGTGAAAAAGCTTTTAAAAGAGCCATAATCTTGCATATATTTTGTGTCATTTCATTGTGCCATTTATATTTTTGATATTTATCATTCTCACGCTTAAATAGTGGAATTTTCTAGAGATTCTGTTCTCATTATTAAAAAGCAGAGAGAGGATGTATTTTTGTGGCTTTTTTATTGCTCGCAGGCCTAGTAGATGTGTAGGCGCAAGTAGTATAGCAATGTATGTTCCAGCACATCTGCGGGGGGTCTGTAACCCTTTGACCCCACCGGGCTGAACCCTTTGGCTCCCTGGCTTAACCCTTTCATGTTAATAATAATTATTATTGTTAAAAATTATTATTAACAATATTCGTGGGGGTCCCTTGGTTTAACCCTTTGATTCCCTGGCCTCTATCCCCTCCATGTTAATTATTATTATTATTAATGTTAATAATTGTTTATAATTTTTGAGGAAGGTTTCTAGGGCTCCTAGTCCCTAGGGACCATATACCTAGTGCTTTCAGTCTAATTAAATTTAAATGTTTTTTTTTTAAAGTTATAAATATAAATTATTAACAATTTACTTGCTACATTGAGAATGAAACGAATATAGAAAATAGCGACGATTTTTTTTTTGAAAAAAATGAAAAGACAGACCGGAGAATCGAACCGGAGTCCTCTGGGTTGGCAGGCTAGCGTTCTACCACTAGAGCCAATGCCACATGTACCTTAGAGGATGCATATTGTGTATATTAGCTACACACGCATACATTTGGTATAGGGCCCGAGCGTGCGGAGGAGGAGGGGAGCGCATGCTGTCTATAGTTCTGGCTTGATGGGGATGCGCTACTATAGTAGTATTAAATGTATGCTCTCTCTCTAGCTCTGACTCAGCGTGATTCATAGTGCGAGGAGGAGGGGAGCGCATGATCAGCTATGCTTACTAACTACCCTATTATCTTAAGTTGATTATGTCTATCATAAATGTAGATCACAGCTGGTTTGAGGGTGATCAAGCTTCTCCACTACTTTCAGAAAGAGAGAGCATCTATGCTTACTACGTTCCCTCTTATCTTATGTTACCTATGACTATCGCAAATGTAGATCATAGACGGTTTAAGGATGGTCAAACAAAATTCATAGCGCGAACACGTGACCTTCGTTTAATGTGTTTTTTGCGGATGACCATAAAGTCAGCGGGACGTCAAGATTTATAGTTTTTAGAAAGTGACAAACGTTCTAGCCTACATGGGGTGGGAAAGGGTACACTAAACGTCCTATCTCACTCAAAGAATGTCTACGTTTGTGTGTAGCGTTACATATATTGTAGAAAATTCGTACCTGATAATAGTGTGAGTGTTCAGTAGGATTTTCGTTGGTCAGTCTTAAAGGAAACTTCGAGGTGTTCACAGTGCAGTGCTAATTGTTTATTATTATTATTTAAACGTTAGTAAGTTTTATATTTTTTATAAAGTTTATAAATAAAAAATAAAACAACAATGGAAAATA